GCTACGACAACTGCGACGCGGGCTGGCTGGCCGACCAGAGCGTGCGGTGAGTGCCGGGCAGGGTGGGCACTGGGCACCCCTCCCCGCGGTGCTGAGCACCCACCCTGCCCCTCTCGGCAGGTATCCCATCACCCTGTCCCGGCCTGGCTGCTACGGAGACCGCAACAGCCTCCCCGGCGTGCGCAGCTACGGCCAGAGGGAGCCTCAGGAGGAGTATGATGTCTACTGCTACGCCCGGGAGCTGCGAGGCAAGGGATGCGCCGCGGGGTGCTGCCTGGGGTGGCGAGGAGGGTGGTTGGGTGCCCAGGGGTGGGCACCTCTGTGGTCGTGGCATGAGTGGATGTGTAGGTGTAGTGCTCAGGGATGTCCTTCCATAGCCATGGATGGATGGATGAGTAGATGAAGTGCTCAGGGATGTTCCTCTGTGGTCATGGCATGGCTGGATGTGTAGGTGTAGTGCTCAGGGATGTCCTTCCATAGCCATGGCATGGTTGGATGAGTAGGTGAAGTGCTCAGGGATGTCCCTCTGTGGCCATGGCATGGTTGGATGTGTCAATGAGTGCCCAGGAATGTCCTTCCATAGCCATGACATGGCTGGATGAGTAGATGAGTGCCCAGGGATGTCCCTCTGTGGCCATGGCATGGCTGGGAGCACATGTGAGTGCCCAGGGATGTCCCTTTGTGGCCATGGCATGGCTGGATGTGTCAAGGAGTGCCCAGGGATGTCCCTCTGTGGCCATGGGATGGCTGGATGAATAGATGAAGTGTTCAGGGATGTTCCTCTGTGGCCATGGCATGGTTGGATGTGTCGATTAGTGCCCAGGGATGTTCCTCCATGGCCATGGTATGGATGGATGAGTAGGTGAAGTGCTCAGGAATGTCCCTCTGTGGTCATGGCACGGTTGGATGTGCAGATGAGTGCCCAGGGATGTTCCTCCATGGCCGTGGTGTGTCTGGGAGCACGGACATCTCCATGCATCCCTTGCCTGCTGCAGTTTGGCTGCAGGGATGAGTACCACGGCCTTGCCAGCACTCCATGCCATCCTTGGCACTGGTGCTGAGTGGCACAGCATGTCCATAGTGCTCAAGTGTTGGAGGCTTCCAAAAACTGACTCAGAGCCATTCTGTGCCCACATCCTCAACACCTCTGCTCTCTTGCAGGGACGGTGTTCTACGCCACGGTGCCAGGGAGGTTCACCTGGCAGGGAGCTCGGAGGCACTGCCGCAGCCGAGGGGCTTCTCTGGCCACCACTGGGCAGCTGTACCTAGCCTGGAGAGAGGGGCTGGACCAGTGTGACCCAGGCTGGTTGGCTGATGGCAGCGTCCGCTACCCCATCAGGCTCCCACGTAGGAAATGTGGGGGTGAGGCTTCGGGGGTCAGGACCCTCTACCAGTTCCCCAACCGCACTGG